TAGCCGGCTTCCCCGTTCTAATACCTGTAAGCTCTGCGACACTCAGACACCCCCGATCCTTCTGTGACCCTGCGGGACCTGAGGCCACGCTGATCCTGCGTGGGCTTCACCCCGGTTAAGCCTCTGGAGCGATGTCCCTCAGCGGAACAGACTTTTAAAAGTCCCGATTTTGTGCTCCGTTGCTCCGCCGCTTGCCGGGAGCCAGCCCCCTCCCCCCGCGGTCTATCTTCCCGTCGCTTTGGATTCACTTCTCCGCCAGTCCTACCTTTCAGAAAGTGGTTGATTTTCTGTTTCTAGAGTTGCTGTTCTTCCTCTCTTCGATCTCCCGTTGGATTTGTAGGTGTTTGCAATCTTTAGATAAGCTATCTAGCTGATCTCCCGCTACCTGAAGTAGTCTCAGCCTGCTACTTCTCCGCCATCTTGACTCCTCCTACCCCAAAGTATTTCATTGTCACGCATCTGCTTTTGGTAAAGTAAAAAAGGTTCAACATATCACCAAAATACAAAATAAATTATTTCAAGATGATATATTGCTATGCTTTCAAAACTTTTTTGCTTTCAAAACTTTCACCAAACAAATCAACTTTGTCATAGTCCTGTTTGAAATGAGAATAGAGTAAAAGCTATAATACAAGTTACACTAATTAGGTATAATTTTCTGCAGTGTTAGACTCTCGAGAAGATAAAGACACTTCCTTTTGGCTAAGCACTCCTCCAATCATCTTCTATGAAGGCAGCTGGGAGAGACTAACTTCCTCGTCCTGTATATGGATACTACACATGGAGAAATATAAGCACATTTCCTTCTCAGATAATAAAATTCCATTAAAAGATTTATTTCTGAGGCAGAAGTTTAAAAGAAATGACCGTGGGATATTCACATTCTTATAAACAATTTCCATGTCCATGAGAAAGGGGCCCATCTCCCTGTTATCCTGATATCAAGAATCTCACAAAACTCATTTGTACTGCTCATAACTATGGGTTCCGTGGGGTTTTCAGCCCATGCTTTCCCAACAAATGAGCTTTCATTTGTTCCTAATGACTTTGGTTTATACAAAGAGATCTTAAACTGTCCCCAGAGCAATCATTTTGCTAAAATGTTATTAGAACATCTTTACAAATTTAGCAACAAAAGGGGCTTCATTAACAATGGAAATCATCGGGAACCAAGGCCCTTAGCAAATTCAGTGCTCACCAGTCTTGTTTTATTTTCAGCAACGAGTACAATAATGTTGTGAACTATCCACTGACTCCTTAGCTGGTGGGTGGGTAAGGAAGTTGAGGTGTGGATGCCATGGGAAGAGATGCTCGAAAAATCCGGACGGTATTCTCCGGTTAATCGGCTCTGTCCTTGCTCTTGGAAGGAGACCTGTAAACCGGAAGCAGCGCGTACTCATGGCATCTGCTAATAGAGTCATTTCTTTCCTGAGAGTTTGGGGATTTGCAGACGAGACTGAGGGCTGTTTTTCAAAGGACCATCCACAGGATTGAGATTAAATATGTAAACATATGTGTGTCTCATTTTTCTAGTAACCAAATTTGATTCATCTGCTATGCACAGAGGGCCAGCTGCTGAAAAGCCTGAAAGTTGACCTGCAGCTTCTGGCAGAGCAAATCCAAATTATGGGGTTTTTCTCTGGGTTTGACACTGCAGCTTGAGATCCAGAATCAGCCCCTATTCTGGGCAGCTTTGAGTTTAAAGGCCTCCTTTGCCCAGGATAACTTTTGCTAGATTCCTTCAGGGTGGTCTCTCTGTCATTTTATCCAGCACTTTATTGCTGAGTGCCCTTTTAAGATTTTTTTTCTTCTTGCTGTGTGTATGGCCAGATTGCCATAGAGCAGTTCCTTCAGTACACCGCTAGCCTCTGTCCTTATGCTGGCCCAGAGGCGACATTTTAACAAGTACCAGTTCAGTGCTGGGGAGCACTGAGGATACTTATTGTTGGAAATCTGGTCTCACCAACATTACATATTTCTCAAAGACGACTGATTAAACTGTGTATTAGAAAATTAACTTAAAAAAAAAGAAAGATTAGCGGCGACCCTATGGCCAGTTGAGCACTGAGAAAATGATAGGTTGGCTGCATCCATATTACTCTGACTACTACTACTATTAAAAACCAACATATCAGGGGCATCTGGGTGGCTCAGTGGGTTAAGCCTCTGCCTCCGGCTCAGGTCATGATCATCAGGTTCTCTGCTCAGCAGGGGGCCTACTTCCCGCCCCCCCACCCTGCCCCCCACCTGCCTCTCTGTCTCTGCCTACTTGTGATCTCTGTCAAATAAATAAGTAAAATCTTACAAACAACAACAACAACAACAACAACCAACGTATCATACTTTTGTTGTCATTAGCCATCTCTAAGCTGATAAAAATGGGAAAAACTATCTTGTACAGATCATCTTGGATCTCAGTTTACTATATTGTGGTGATAGAGCAAAATATCCTCTCTCAGAACAGAGTCCCCTCACTTGCAAAAAGAAATGTATAAGGCAGACATCATGATATTATTATATAGACTAAATAAAATGTGTAACCTGAAACATGGTATTGCCCAGAGGTGTTATTTTCTACCTCCTGTGCTCCTCCAGCCAGTGCCCAGGGCTTTGGAGGGACAGTCCCTTTATTCATTTGTATGTGCCTCTTACACAGTTCGGCATCAGCCAACAGCATCTACTGAATAATGAAATATGGACTATTGCTAGTGACTATGATATATGGCAGTCAAGTTATTTCTAAGGAATATAGTTTAATATCTGGTGGGTTTCTTTTCTTTTTCTTTTTCTTTTTCTTTTTTTTTTTGCATTTTCCTTATTTCTGTATGCTTTTTCTACTGGAAACCATTGATATTGGAGATGCATTTCATAGGCAGTAACAAACTTAATTCAATGGACTCTATCTCTATATTCTCTTTAATACATTAATAACTTAATGACTATTAGAGCTAATGTTAAGAAAATGTACACTGAGAAAAAAAGGAAAATATACATTGATTGATGAGCTGATGATTTCAGTAGACATTTTATTGTTTTTTCTTGCAAATTTTTTTGTTGACTGCTTGGCTAAAGTCATACTTTTATACAGTGTTTTGCTCTGTAACCTATAATATTTGAAAGAAAAGACTCATCCTCCTTTCTAGCTGTTGATTTAGAGAAAGAAAATGAAGAAACTTACTTCATTTTCTTATTATCGTTAGTAAAGATGGAGGCGTATTTGTAATCCTGTATCGCATCTACCATGATTAAACGTGGCAGCAATGTTTTCTGAAGCTCTGGGCTGGTTTTCCAAAGCTCTGGGCTGATATCTGTGTTCTTTTGTTTAAAACAAAACAAGCAGAGCGCTTGCCTTCTAATATCGCAAAGACAAAAGGCTTTAGTCAGCAAGGTTAAAGTAACTTTTGTCCGAATACTCCAGATCACTTACTTCTAGGAAGAGACAGAATAATATAGTTTTAGGCATTTCTGGGAACAATTAATTTTGTACGATTCTTCTAGCAAATCTCAGCATGTGGTATCCTGAAGCCCAATGCTCCATATTCTGAGTTTCCTACGTCCTCCGTAGCTGCTTAACAGAGCCAGATGAAGCATCTTCCCGGTGGTCATTCAGATACTTCCTCCTGTTTTCTAAATATCCCTTCAACCATAGCAGTGTTTTAACCATCAGTCAAGGTCCTAAATCTTTAGAAGAGAGGGTTTTTTATCTTGCTATCCAGACAAAAACACCTCTTATCAGCCACTTTCAAGTTACAAGTAAGAAACTTAAATAGTGGATCACTGAATATGACACAAAGCAGAATGTATTTTTTTGACTTTTTGTAAGTATTCTAGTGTTCTTTCAGAGAAGTCAGTTTTTTAAAATGTGGCATATATACTGAGACTCGAGAGGACAATATTTAGTAGAAAATTGCTATGGTGAGTAAACATGAGCATTTATAACTTATAAATAGTCAAGAGTAATTAAATCCACTCACACTTTCCCACCATAATATTTATTTTGGAGTCCAAGTCAAAATTTAGTCTATTTTTTTTTAAAGATTTTATTTATTTATTTGACAGGCAGAGATCACAAGTAGGCAGAGAGGCAGGCAGAGAGAGAGAGAGAGGAGAAAGCAGGCTCCCCGCTGAGCAGAGAGCCCAAAGCGGGGCTCGATCCCAAGACCCTGAGATCATGACCTGAGCCGAAGGCAGAGGCTTTAATCCACTGAGCCACCCAAGCGCCCCAAAATTTAGTCTATTTTTATAGTCACTTTTGTAAATGTAGAGAAAAAGACATTTTTTTCTCAAAATTTATTACTTTATGTTTTATCTGTTTATTATCTCTATCAGTAATCTTCTAGGTTCTGCAATGTGAAGGCCTATTTGAGAAAAATAATTTTAGGGACACCTGTCCATGATTTTAGGAGAAATGTTTGTTTTATCCAAATTAGTCTCTTCAACCTGTGCTTCCTTGCCGTTCTCGGGTCTACCAATTATGAGAGCAAAATCTTTGATAAGTGTATTAATGTTGGTGGAACTATAAGCATCCTGCTTGCATTGTTTCTTTAAGCCTTTATATTCTGACCCTTTTTAAGGTTTTATTTATTTATTTGACAGAGAGAGAGAGAGATCACAAGCAGGGGGAGTGGCAGAGGGAAGGGGAGAAGCAGGCTCCCCTCTGAGCAGGGAGCCTGAGGCCAGGCTGGATCCTAGGACCTGAGACCATGACCTGAGCCTAAGGCAGACATTTAGCCCACTGAGCCACCAGGCACCCTGTGACTTTGGTTTAAATATAGTTTCAAGAATAGAAACAAAACTTGCATTCAAAATACATTATTTTGCATCGTTGAATTGCCAATTTTTAAAATCTTGTTACTATATAGTATTATTCTCTTTCAGGTAAAATCTGATTAACAAAATCATCTTTTTAAAAACTGACTGTAGTAAAGCAACATCTGTCTTTAGTTTCAATGCTATGAAGCATTTAATTAACAGAAAACCACCATGGGTTGCTTCTTTAGAATACCACTAAATGTTAGAGACATCGTCTACTGTACAGGAGTTTCACTACTAGATGAGGATGTCTGGGAATTCATATGGATGAAATTCCACTCCACTACAGCGGTTTCTGAGAAGAAAATATTATTGGAAGCCTTAACTTGCAGTGATGACAGGAACTTATTAAATAGGTGAGTCAATTAATTTTCTAAATTTATTTGTGTAATGAGAGTACTCTCAGTTAATCAAAGTACACTGAACTTGATTTTATTTCCTTGAATATAAGCTAGTTATGCTAGGATGTATTTTCTACAGCTAAAGAAAACTGCCATGTTGACATGACTAACGCTAATTGAATTGAAAGAAATACCTTTGTTTCTCACTCTAAAGATTTTTTAAGTGAGTTGATAGCATCAGAACAAACTTGTGATTTCTTCACCAGCAAAATTTTTTAAAATTTAATTAATGAGCTAATTAAAATGCTATGAATTTGCTCTTCCCCCTTTTAAAAACAGAAAATGGTTCTGTTGATAAGTTGTATTGGTAGTTTACACAGGACTGTTCTTCTAAAGAGTTTAGAAGAACATTAATTAATAATTAATAATTAATAATTTGTCATTAATGCGTGTAATTTTTGTAACTTTATAAATTCATTATAATTAATTAATGCGTGTAATTTTTGTAATTTTATGAAAATTTTTAAGTTATTGGGCTAAAAGCTTTTCTACAATTCTATCCTTAAAGGCTTCTAAATCTCTCACTGAATTCTGAGGTGGTGTTAGATCAAGATGCAATTGATGTGATAATCCATGTCGCTCGAAACCCACACGGCCGAGACCTTGCCTGGAAGTTTTTCAGAGATAAATGGAAGATACTAAATACCAGGTAGAATAAGAGTTCAATCATTCAAACCTGAGTGAGTAAATTAAAGGTGACATAGTAGAGATAAAGACCCAACTTTTTGTGTTAAAACTAAGGTCCAGATAATAGAATTGGATTTTAAAATAGTCAGCCAAGTTGAGTGTTGCCACTCCTGTGAAACTCAGAATTATTTTAACGATTCTATAATATTATTCATGTAATAAAGATTAAAGACTGTGATTATATATGGAAATGTGGGAGTAAAAATGTTTAGTAGTCAACATTTGTGGAAAATCTTTTAAGTTGTCTAAGGTTGAAGAAATATCATACAACTGTATTCTGAATGTGTTACAGAAAAAATATTTTATAAATCAGATATAATTATTATATTACATAACAAGAAAATTTAACCTCTGCAAGAATTGTTTTTAAATTTTCTTTATATGTAAATATCATAAAACACCTGAAATAAAACCAAGATACAGAGAAGGAACATTTGAATCATTGTATAATCCTAGTTTCAATAGAATTCATTCCTGAGACATCTTGTTTCATGGTGAGACTTTTTCAGCCTCATTTTAAGAAAATGTTTCATTATGTATTTAAATATATTATAATAAATGTTGATTTATTACTCTGATAATCTCTATGGCATTTTAAAATTTAATTTATTATAGAGCATGTAGATGCTACGTGTTCTCAAACTTAAATGTCCCCAAAAAGTGAGCAGACCTCTTGTTCTGTCTATTAAAAATTGGTGTGTAAACTTCATGTTTTTAAGGTACATAGACCTTTCTCAGTTGCCCTTGTATAAAGGGTTCCATTTGAATGCATGTGTCCTGTTAAAACACAATTCTATCTACAAATATTTCGTCAGAAAGTGCTGATATTCCTAGAAGACACATTGGCTTTCTTGTATTTGCAGCTCAGAAATTGGAATGATTGGAAGATTAGAACTTACTTTGCTCTCATGTACTATAATATAGTGAATAGTCAGATACAAGGTGAAATTAATATATAGGAGCATTTCACTTTAAAAAGTGTCAAATATCTGCCAATACACAGTCTATGTAGGGAGTGGTTTTGTCTATCAGGGTTCAGCATAGTGGGCATGTATAGTTCAGTCCCAACCAAAAAATGTTTGGCTCCTACTATGCTTATTTTGTATCACTTGAGAGTCCATGGTCGCTAACCAAAAGCTAAAAAGGTTGAGATTTGGAAATGTTTAAAATCTTGACAAATAGAACTGTATTCTTCATCAGCTTCTACTGCTCTAGCAGTCCTTAAACACTGGAGTTCATGGAAGTGCTGTCCAAGGTACTCTTTCTTTTGCAGATTCTCCCTGCTTTTAATTGCTCCCAAATCTAGATCTCTTACTCAAACATTTTGTCTAAGCTTCACTCTATGATAGACAGTTGCCTGTTTGGAACCCCCTACTGAGGTGTACCTGCAAAGCTAAACCTATCATTATCCTCTTGTCTTCCTTTCCTCAGTAAATATTATGGCCATCCACCAATTGCTCAAGCCGGAAACTTGGAAAACTACAGATACCCCCTGGTCATGTATGACAGTTAGGCTTGAGATATTGTCAATTTAACAAGTCCTAAAAGAAAGGTGCCACAATGCTGTAAGGGAAGCATTAGAAAACCTCTTATAATGGGGGCTGAGCCTTTGCTTCCAAAACTTCAGAATCTTTTTTATCTTAATTCTGAGAGTATGGTAGTCTGTGATAGGTATCCTTAGCACAACAGAGATAAATCAATAAAATGAGAAACCTTTCCAACTCACCAATACAAACTGCTCCTTACTGTGGGTCACGAGTCAAGAATTTATGTCTGTGGCACAAGGATTATGCAATCCAGGTGAACAACCAAATACTTCAATTTAATGTCTACATGAAGACATACTAATATTTGGGAAGCATTTCAAAGAATTTGACTCAGTTTCTAAGCATGAAAAAGGAGAATGCCAATGTCAATTGTGACTGACTAGACCAAAGGATCTGTGTGACATACTGTTAATGCCCAAGTTTGTCTTATACTCCTCTTTCTTTTGTTGGGATTTTCTTTTTTTTTTTTTTTTTCCTTATAGTGAACTAGGTTGCTTTAAAGTTGAAAGTTTTAAAATATTTCTTCCTCAGGCCTTAGATCGAAACTATAACAATAATTCCTAAATCTAATTTTAGAGGATTCCTTTTTTTTTTTTTTTTTTTTTTAATGTACTACAACATAGACCTCCCTGAAACATTTTGAGCCAAATCAGGTGGCATCTGATGTTATTCTGCAGTCACAGCTCTTTGCACCTCCCTGGCTCCCTGGAGAAATGACCTTGAAATGGTCTGATATCTTAATGGCAACAAGATAACATTGGTCAAATGGTGCCCTTGAAAAGGATTCTTAAAAAAAAAAATCTGAAGAGTAGGATTTCTTAAATTATTGCTTATATAACATCAAGACTTTTTTTTTTTTTTTTAATCTTTCTAGGTATGGAGAGGCATTATTTATGAATTCCAAACTCATTAGTGGAGTTACAGAATTTCTTAATACTGAAGGTGAACTCAAAGAGGTAAATATTTTAATACAGGAGTTCTAATGATTTTCTTTTATAAATATATAAAATTATACATTTATTTTAACCACTTTTTTTCTGACAGACTCATATCCATTTCTTTAAAAAACACACGTTCATGCTAAAGACTTGACTTACTTCATTATTTGCAAAGGTATTTCTATTATATTAAACATGAAATGCCTTGGGGGGGCACCTGGGTGGCTCAGTTGGTTGAGAATCTGACTCTTGGTTTGGGCTCGGGTCATGATCTCAGAGTTTTGAGATCCCCTCTTGGGGCTCTGTGCACTCAGTGCAGAGTCTACTTGTCCCTCTTCCTCCCCCTCTGCCCATCCCTCTGTACCCCCGCACATGTGAATGCTAGCTTTCTCTTTATCAAATAAGTAAATACGATCTAAGAACAGACAGACATAAAATGCCTTCGAGAGGTGTTTGAATATAATGATTCTCAAACTCCAGGACTCCAAATCCACTCCCAGTATCTTTGATCCAATCCGCTGCTCCTGGGTTGATGATGTGAACCCAGGTTGGGATCCTAGAAATAGCAGAACCATCCCGTCACAATGACTCAGCATTTGGGTACAAAGGATCAAGGATTGTGTTAAGATATAGAACTTGAGTCTCCCTGCTTCACGTTCGGGCGGATTACAGGGTGTGGATCACCAGGTGTGATTATATAGCTTCGTGCTATCTAGTCTGTTCAGTGGAATGAATTTAGTGTATGAAAGAGGATATATCTGGCAATATATATTGAGATTAATAGTTTGTTGAAAATTCTGCTTGATTTAATCATACATGAATTTCATTAAAGAAAATAAACAATTCTTTAAGGACTAGTGTCTGGTTTAGAGTATATCTAATGTTTCCTTTTTTTTTTTCCTGGTTTATTTCTCTGGAAATTTAAACCAGCTTTTTTTTTTTCCCCTAGCCTTTAACTCACATTTGTAGAAGAGGGGGTGTGAAATGGGGAGGGATAAATATGTAGGAGGGAGGAAAAATATATAGATACTTTAAAAAAATTTTTTTTAAGATTTTATTTATTTATTTGAGAGAGAGAGAGAATGAGAGAGAGAGAATGAGAAGTGGGAGGGTCAGAGGGAGAAGCAGACTCTCTGCTGAGCAGGGAGCCCGATTTGGGACTCAATCCCGGGACTCCAGGATCATGACCTGAGCTGAAGGCAGTCGCTTAGCCAACTGAGCCACCCAGGCATCCCAATACGATTTTTTTTTTAAGATTTTACTTATTTATTTGACAGAGATCACAAGTAGGCAGAGAGGGAGACAGAGAGAGAGGGGAAAGTAGGCTCCCCGCTGAGCAGATAGTCCGGTGTGGGGCTCGATCCCAGGACCCTGGGATCATGACCTGAGCCGAAGGCAGAGGCTTAACCCACTGAGCCACCCAGGTGCCCCTAGATCCTTTTAAATGATTCTGATGAGCTGGGCTTCAACCATCTACTTTTTTTCTGCTGCTTCACTCCATTACAAAGGATAGCTGAGACTTGGCTTTGACAATCATGGCTTCCTCGGCTCTCACTCATCGGATATCTGGGCTGTGACCCGGAGCTAAACATATCCAGCAGCATTTCCCCAGAAGCATCACCCTGGCACTATCCTTAACATCTAATAGTGCCCGGTGTTGTACGATCATCCCACATGCACTGACTTGGATTCTTGCACGTGACAAGCTAAGCTAAGCTAAGTCTCTGATTGTAATGATTTGAAATTCAATTTTTATCCCTGCTGTGTGTTCCCAACCCTAAAGGATTTGGTTCTGAAAGCCCCAGCCCATGTTTTACTAAATTTTTTTAATAAAGGAAGCTAAATGAGAAGGACTCCTTTCATATCCATATGAAACAATGAAAGAACAATTAAATGAATGCTTCCAATTTTCTCTGTATTTAAATGAAGTACTTTTAATTTCTTGATTTTACATTCAACAATCAGTGAGTAAAAGACTCATTTAGTCACAACCTATGAAGCCATTGAAGTGAACACAGAAGTGAAAAATCTCTTCTACCCCTCCTGTCCCCTCCTTCTTCTCTCTTGTAGCACCCTTCCTTCTCCTGTCTTCTCCCCAGTATTCTCTGCCTTTGCCTCCTTTCCTGCTGCCTCACTTCTGTTCCTGCTTCCTTTTCTTCACCCTCAAACTCTTGTCGGTCTTTCCTACTTTCCTTGTTTCAGGTATACCCAGGCCCTGGGAAAACATCTTTTAAATGGATATTTATTTGACTTTATTGTATGTTGACCGTTTTGTTTTACTTACTTCACACATATTTTTAATATTTTTCCACTTGATTTAATTGTCATTTGAAATGTCCTTGTAATGAAAAGTGCAGTTTCACACCTGAAACTAAACTGTGGTTTTTATTCCATTATCTACACAGCAGCTAACCTCACACCGTCTGGCTGTGACATGAGCTAGGAATCGCTTCCTAACAAGGCGGCTTGTGCTGACTTTCTAGTTTGACAATTGCCCTCTGAGGCTTCTCCATACTTTCCTTACCTCACCATTGTCTTTAAGATTGGGAACCACTGTTGTAGAGTAGGATGGGAGTTTGCTTTGTATTGCTAATTACTCCCTCCTCCCACGCCCATTAATATAAAGCAGGTGAGGAAATTCCAGACTCATCCTCTAATAACCAATGAACCTCACAAGCAGAAAACCCAATGCCCTCCCTTTGGATGCGGGAATATTCTTATTTTCAAGAGTATACATAGATCAAAAGGGAACCGGCATCTTTATGAATTCTGAAAACTCAGCTGAGGTGTTAATGACCCCATCAGACCCAGGGGCATTCAGTAGAGAAATAGGAGTAGTTGCAAGGTCCCTTCCCCAAAACTGCATTCTAGTACCTGAAACTGGCAATTTCCTTCTAATTACGAGGCTCTAGCAATTTGAACACTATTTCTCCATGAAACAGTGTGTTATTTCCTTAATTTTAAACTAATGGAAGTACAACCTGAGGGAGCAACAGAAGCCCTTTGCCAGTGTTTCATACTGATGTCTGTTGAGCAGTTCTCCCCAGCGCTCCTTTTTCTGCTTCTTGAACCTCATAGACAGCCCTGTGGAGGAGGAACATAGATCCTGGGCATCACAGACATCCCATTTACAGTTTTAATGTTGAAAATATAAACCTCATAATAGGGCAATAGCTAATTCAATTTATTTATATGGTTACTGAGAGTATATTATGTTTTGCAATTTACTCTACAAATAATTTATTTTGTGATGTTTAGGGTCTCGGGTACCCTAAAATCAGAGTTTCTTTTTAAATGTGAAAATGCCTTCTAATGGAGAAATTAACAAACATGTCTAGAAATTTTATGCTAAGAACAGGAAGCACAAACAACTCTGACATCTTACTAAATGCTATTTTATAAAAATGTCTAAACTTGCAACATTTTCAAATAAAAGCAGAAGATGGCATAAATACTTAGGAAACACAATAATAAAAGCTAATAACAGCAGAAAATCTACCAAAGAACTGCAGAAATAAGCAAACCGGAATGCCAAGTGTCTTCCATCTACCCTGTGCCCTCTAAAGTCAGGCAAAGGGTCTGGAAGGTGCTATGATCACACACCCCGGGACCTGTTAGATGGCTGCTCTGACCACATATTTGCCAGAAGAGCTGCAGAGGAATCTGGGCATAAAATCAATCTGTGTCAACCACGGAAAGTGGGCCATATGTGTTCTGATGAATAAGCTACTCCCAAGATTCATTCAAGTCACCTCAGGCTTTCTGAGCTCATGAGGCTAGTACTTAGTGCACTTAAATAGTGATTTAAGAAATGAATCCCTGGGGACCCACCACTTACATTTTTTATTGATGGTTCTCTTGCAAGATAATCTGACCTACTGTCTTTGTGTCAATAACACATTCATATTCAAACCCATAGTTTGCCTTTGAGGAGGACTTAAGTGTTTTACTTCCAGTGTTTAGGCTGGCTTGCTCTGTCTCCCACCAAGGGGCCAAGAACATGCTGTACAAAGTCAAAGTTGCCAGTGGGTCATTTATCACTATCTGGCATATTTAGTACTTCCGAGGAAAGCCTGTAATAATGCAGAATGTATTTTAAGAGCAGCAAATAATAATTTTTTCCTGATTGACATATATTATGTAAAGAATACCACTGTAATGAACATATGTGATATATACATGTATGCTGTGATATACGTTATTTGTGTAATAAAACAATTCAAGACATAGACCATGATGTATTACTTGTTGCTATAGGAATATAGACTGAATGAATCCAAACATATAAATACAAATGAATTATTGGATTAATCAGTTAAAGTTTAAAAATATGATTCAGTGTTTCCATTAGACTTCCTTTTAATATATGTGTGCCTGTTACAGGCATATGTGTGTGGCACGGTGCCTGGAATATTGAAGACATTTAGTAAATTCCCATGTCTTCTTCCTCTTAGCATTTGTAAATTTGGTAAAATGTCAAACCAATTTTCAGGGTAGCATCAATAAATCTTTGCTGTATGTTGGATATTTTACATGTTTGTTATCAAAGCATAGGGATTTTGAAGTCTTATAAAGGATATAGCTCTGTGATGAAGTCATCCTTGCTAATGCCATGGTGGGGGGGCATGGGGCTTTGTAGGAAAGTGGAGGAAAAACTTTGAGAAAACCTATGGGTATCATGTAATCAAAGTAACACTGTCATAAACAAACCGAGCTACCAATGAACCACTTTCTAGATTAACTCAGAAAGGTATTAAGAAGTCCATTTTAAATGCCCTTCCCCCTGTCCCTGAGTCAGTCTTGCTGCACTACATTTCCCTCCTGGCATGTCCTCCATGTGGCACCCACCATATGATGAATCACACCCACACTAATTACACCACTAATGTTTCTGTGTTGCAAGCTGATTTTTCACATTTGCCTATTAGCATTGAGATTGTTGGTTGGTTGCCAGTTTCTTAACATATCGAACAGAAAGAAAGACTGCTAGAAAGACTCTTGAAACCAAATCCCTGAGCATTCCCAGAATATGTGAACTCTCTAGAGAAAATCTTATATCCAGAAAAATATTAGCAAAATATCTTAAAATGGTAACTTATTTTAATTAAGTGCTCAAAGAGTCTAGCTAAATGAGTCCACATTTAACTATCCTTCATTCTTTCTAAGCTGAGTCACTTGGGCAACTGAAATGTCATTAATCATCCAGTTTTCGTAGCATCGTTACTTTCTTCCCACCACCCAATATCTGGTAATCCTTCGCTGCTAAAGATAATGTCAACCCCTTATGCTACTTATTTGGTGATGATGAAGACGATTTGGATCTCTACCAACAAAGAGTGAACTTTAATCCTTATCTTCAGTTTTTGAGGCTATTTGGACATTGGATGTGCTTCATAATTAGAACTAGCCTTGGCCACAGTCCCATCAACCTATTACGAAAAGATAAATATGTCTGTTTTAATATTTACTTAGGAAACAAGAAGCTGAATTTGGAGCTCTTGAAACTGTAATGTCCACTCTTTTTTCCTTCTGGTTCCGAAAGATACTATACCACACTTAATGGGCACAATTTGTTATATTGTATTTTGTTAGAGAGCTTTCTTCCCGTAGTAAATATGCCTTCTGTGGTGGCTGTGGCACTTCGTTTCTCATATAGTCTTGTTTACATACGTTAGACAGGAGTTTGAGGCATGCATATTTACCATTCAAAACTGTTTCTTTCCAGCTGAAGAACTTCATGAAGAACTATGATGGAGTAGCTGCTGCCTCTTTCTTGAGAGCTGTGGAAACCGTGGAAGCCAACGTGCGCTGGAAAATGCTCTATCAAGATGAGCTTTTCCAATGGTTAGGAAAAGCTCTGAGACACTAAACTCTCTCTTATAAACAATCCGACTCCGAATTTTGGGAGAAGACCTGCTTTCTATGGAGTGAGGAAAATGTGCTATGTGGAAAATGGCCAGATTTTCAGCATTAACGTGTGGGAGGAAAATTTTATTTATTTATTTTTTTGGTTTTGGGGGAATTTTTGGTTTGTTTCATTCATTCTGTTTTGTTTCTCTACTGGGTGTTCTTCTCTAAAGAAACTCTTGCAAGTGACACTAGCCATGATGGCCTCAGCTGTACATTCCTCTTTGTACAGGACCAAATATGATAGTGGTGCATGCTGATGTTGCCGTCAGTTTGGAAAAACATATTCAGAATATTTTGTGCATGGTTGTATGGTCCTGCCTGTGTTCAGCATGCTTACTTAAACTGTCCAATGTCGTATGTGTATATATGTTACATCCAGGATGGGCATTATACAAAAGCACAAAGATTATCTATGACAATCATTGTTGCAATGAAAGAAAAACTGAAAAGGAATTCTCTTCTTAGTCCTGGGCAATGTGGGAGGTGAAATAGCCCTTTAAGTGATCATTATCACTTCTTTCAGCAATTGGCTTATCTTGCAATGATGACTGTGTAGCTAACTCATTTTCTTCGAGTTAAAGCCGTGTACACGTTTAAAAAGGTGTATAGATAGTGTATGCATATGTATATGTACAGAGGGAAGCCCTATATGTATATAGTATGTTGTACACTGCACTTCTGCAAAGAATCTCTTCCAATCAAAGAAACTTTATCTCTTTTTATAAACTTGTGCAAACTTTGAAAAGGCTGAAAAGAATTTATCTCACCACTCCCCACCATTTCCTAACTAAATTTCTCGACTCTTACAGATTTTTTTTCATCTACTTCCTGAACAACAGTCTATTCTACTACGTGAAAGTGAATTCAAGCAAAATTTATGTATAAACACTCTTCTAATTCTCCAAAGTGGCAGAAACATATCCTAAATACAGATTCTGTCATCATTCTGGTCAAACTTCCCGTTGCATAAAACAATTATGCACGTTTAATAATTATCAGTGCTGAGAAAATGTTTCTTTCCCATCTTGTTTGTTTTTCCATCTCATGTTGTGTGATCCAGAGGGTTAAAAACTTTCTGTGTGTGTGTGGGTGTGTTGGTCTTTGTGTCTGTGTCAGTCGAATCCTCCATTAAGTGACGGGACCTCAAGTAGGTCTGATACCATGTAACGACCCTTGGATCCCAGTCGTGCCATCCATTCAGAGGACAGTTCTTTTCCTTGGGCAAAGCTTTTTCTTTGGCATTGACAGCTCTCTTCTACCTAGGAATTTTTAAATAGCCCTTGCCATGGCTGTCTGTTATGTAACACAAGTGCTTTTAAATGGTATTCTCACCCAGTAGGCCAGCTCTCCAAACATTGCTTAGATGATCCAAAATGAACATATTTTAAGTTTGCTGTTATAAAATACCAACACAACCACTGGACCCAAGCCAAAAGTTTGTGGACCACTTTTTATTGTCCTGAGGTTTTCCACTCCTCCAAATCTTCTCGCAGATTATTGAGAGAAATAGATTCTAATAGTCACTGAGCACTGGGGGAAAAAAATAGGTATTTTAGAAACCGGAGCCATAGATTTATTTTGAGTCCTTGTAAAAAGGAGCAATTTCCTAATCCGTCAAACAAGTATCACCTACAACTGAATTTTATCTTTTTAGCAACTAATAACTATTACTCATACCTTACATTTTCAGCACTTCATTCAATTAAAACATATGAATTTTAAGGACACTGTGTGGTATTAGTAAGACATAGTAATAGTAGAAAATCTAAAAGTCATTCTGCTGATCAGAAGTCATGAAATTTAACTAGTGCTTATCGCATATAAAATCCTTTAGGGACAAGTTCTGAGACATCACAATAATAAATATCACTCTGCAGTGCAGGTCCAAAACATGTACCATATCACCCTTGGATTCATGGACTTGAGGTAAATAGATTTAAAAATTAGAGGTGGATGTCTTATTTTGTGTCATGAATTATTGAAAATTCTTTGTAGTTGTGACATTCTTTTTGAGTGAAATCTCCATTTCCAGATTTGAGTTAGAAAGCCTTTAAGAGTTCTTTTTTTCCTCCCCACTGTTAATAATCTTAATCCTCTTTCAGTATTTTAGTGGCCTTGAACAACTGGTTTAGCTACGATGTCAAATCCTAAATATGTAATTATGTGCAATGTTTGATACCTCATAGAATATCTGTTCAACGGTATAGTAGTATCAATGGCATCGAGATGGAATTTCTGTTCTACATATTTTTCAATAATTTATCCTTTCCAATGTTGAAGATTATATCAGGCTTTGACGTTTTTTAGTTGTTTAAATAAGTAATATTTTCAAAATAATAAAATGACCAATGATATCTCTTGGAATATTCTGTAAAATGTAGTTATAAAAGTCTATTTTCTACATAGAGTTTTTATCTTTTTTCTCTTCTTTGTATGTTTTACAAGTCCTATATATGCATGAAATAACAAACTGTTGAAATTGTTCAATATCTAGGCTTAAATCTTTACTCTGCCAATATATATATATACAACACAAAAGTTGGTTTCAATTAGACAGGACTAAATTGTTTACCATACCAAATATTAAATAACACCAGGTAACTTATAAATAAAACGTTTTCCCCATTTTCACACATTTTCCCTTAAACTTTTCTTAAAATCCTCATGTTTTTAAAAAATAGTCGAGTACGACCTCTAAGGTTAATTTCTACAATGTGAGGTTGATTCCTGAGTTTCAATAACCCAGATTTTAATTGGACCTTTTTTAAATTGGAACTTAGCTGACTTTGATTTATATTATTTCTAAGAAACTTTATATCATAAGACTGAGATTTTTGTGTCAGTGCTATTTACAAACATAACTGTGATATCTCACAAGGTTAAGATTATAACATACTTATAAATTGCATTCCATTTGTGAAAAACTTCTACAAATGCTGTTTTATTGCTTATTATGTTTAACATAATAAATTATATTAGCCCTGATAGTCTGATGAGAAAACTGAGGCTTGGAGTAGCAACAGGAACCTTGAAAATTACATAGTTGTTATCTGGGAAACAGGCACAATAACCTTAGCTTTTCAATAGAACCTTCCTACGACAAAACTAGAAAGACATTTTGAAATGCCTCTATCCATTGCACGAGTTGGAGGTTTTCCAAATACCAGAAACAGCATCAAAACACGTGATGAAATAGGTCTACACTAATTATATTATTTTGTAAAGTCTGTGTTTCTAATGGGCATGATGTCAAACAACTGCATGAAATGTTCATCAGCAATTCACTTCAGTCAGGATAAGCAGCCTGATATTGTGACAAAACATATAGTTCATTAATTATAGTTTCCTTTTTTTGATCTTTTGGTGAACACTGTTTAAATAGGACTTTAACATGGTTGATAATATGCTTTATTTTTATACATATTTCTCTGGTAAACCTCTAACTGTAGTAACAGATGGTCAGACCACAGATAAAATGGTTTCCATCTAAATAAGTGAAAATAATATTCAGTAAAATGTTATGCAGACTAAATTGTGAAAAAGCAATGTTTATGCAGCTGCAGTATAGGAATTCCTGAAGAAAGTTACAATGATGTATTTAATTAAAATCCACTGGCTGTTAAAATTTTAAGGAATTTTTTTTTTCCCCCTGAGGAATTGAAGACCTAAAATAGCTCAGTTATTCTCAGGATGACCAAGAGGTAACCACATATACCTCTTAAAGACATGGTAAAAGTTTATATAATGAGATATTAAGATTCCTAAACATTTTTTCCTCCCTTTACCAGAGATCATAGCTGGATTATTATCATTTGACACTGCTAATTATATAGGGCAAAATTCAATTTAATTAAACAAATATTTATAGAGCACATTTTATTTCACAAAGCACTCTGTGAAGGGAAAGGAAGGAGGAGCAGAAAAAGGCCTGGAGGAATTCACATCACAGTAAATGCAACAAACATAAATCATGAGCCAATTAGAGTGAGGGTGACATGAAAAATAATTACCTGCTACATAAGAGAAACTAAATTTTTAGGTATAGATAATATTGTGCATTATTTTTGTACACTTGTTTTCAAAACTTATATGGTACTTGAGGGTAATTCTCAATGTTTGGTCACAGCACTTAATTGTGTTTCACAAAAATGTGTAACATTTAGAAAGTATAATAAAACCACATGGTTTAAACTTTGTAATTGGAATATAAATTGGGGTAGAATTTATCTTCAAGAAAAGCTATTTGAACAATTTAATAATATCAGTAAGGTGCAGGAAAAATGTTTAACCTACTTAGGAAAAGTAGTTCAAGTTTTCTAAAATGGGTTTAGCATATTATTTGTATATTCACAATGTGTTAATTTTAAGTTAATCATATATTCTTTAAAGCAGGTTCAACAGTTCTTATCCTAGGCAATAATGTATTTGTTCAAATTAGTACATGTGAACTTTTGAGTAAAGAAATGTACTTATAAAATATTCTAAAATTTCAAATTTTAGCTATATAAAGGTAACCTTGAGTTCAATCGCTATGAATTAATAAGGAATTATTTTATTAAAGTATTTTGCTTAACGTGGTTTCTCTTCAGGAAAACGCTAACAAAAGGGAACTCTAGTAGCTTTTATTTTCAATTTTATTTTATGAAATTTTATTTCAAAGTTTAGAAAAGTTTTTAGAGTCTTTATTAAAAATAAGCAGTTGGTGAAAAATATATGTTCTAACTTTAAGTATACTGTTTATGTATAAATATATGCATTATATTTTTTAAATAAGTTTTTCACCAAAGGTCCTATTAGTAGACAGTATGATTTTATTCAGATTTTGAACACATAGCACATTAAGGAACTTTATTTTGAATATTAAGTACTTTAAGGATAGTACACTGAAAATGTCTCTTTTTTAATTCCCAGTTCATGTACTAATGCACTAAGAAAAAAGAAAAATAATGACCAGTTCTTCATTTTTATCTGAATTAATTTTTTGTGTGCTGTATTAATGTTAAATGAGATAAAATATAGGAAAAGAATGAACCTTTGAGCATCTACTAAATGTCAGGCATTTTTTAAAATTCTTTTTAAAGATTTTATTTATTAT